ATCAGTCGTCTCAATGCTGCTTCGTTATCCATGTTAGTGGTGTGATCTAGGTCGTCTGTTGCACGTCTGCTATGGCTTCTGGTGAAAACCATAAGCGTGGCCGATAAGAGCTGTCTTGATCAGCCCCACGGTGGGCGCCAAATGTTCTTACCGGGAATCCGAGGTAGGGATGATCCGCTGGGTAAGATCGGTGAGCCTCCTTCACGGGTACGTTGATGCTCCAAGATGGGGTGGTATCTGCAAAAGAGACTCCGATGCCAAAGTTAGTGTTTGTGGGAGTATGAGTCTCTTATAAGTAATGCACGTACCTTTGTGTGGATTAGGGTTTTGTTGGGCCTTGGGCCCGAGATCAGTTTATGACCTAATTGGATAGCGAGCCGATGTCGCCTAGCGCGTGTCCGAGGTCACTCCACGCTGTGATGCCAAGCTCGAGCTCGGCATAGTAGTACGGATAGTACAAAATCCATTAAAATTTAACTTAAAATTCAATCCATCTAATCCATTTAAAGAAGAAAAATTAAAATCCATCCATCAACAATTTTTTATTTTTTATTTTTTTATGGATGGATGTCCAATCAATGCATGAAACTAATGTTTAAAATTAAAAAAAATTAAAATATTTTATTTCTCTATCCTTTCTTTTTAATAAATCATTACATTCCTATATAGTCTTTTAAAATTTATAAGATTTTTTTAATGTCAAAATACTCTTTCAAAATCTCAATCTAATAAATATCTCACATTATAATCCAATGGATCTTAATTTAGTCAGACAATTTTCTTAATTGTTCTAAACATGCTACAATTAAGATGAAATTCTATAAATTCTATTGAACATTTTTTCATAATTTTCTAACTCAAGATTTTAATAAAATAAATTTTTGATGTTACATCCTTATAAAATTTCTATAAATTTTAATTTAAATATTTTTCTATATTAATTGTAAATGTTTTTAATATTCTCTCAATAAACTATCAAGTAAGTATTGATCAATCCAATTCTCTAACACTTAATTTTTTTTTTTATAATTTAACATTGTATATACATCACTGTTTAGGAAACAATGAAATTATACAAACAAACACACATCACTAATTTTAGAAATTTTTACTAAATAGAACTACATAAGTCTTATCCATAATAATCTTACATAATATTTGATACATATTTATTACATAAAACATATATTAATTTACAGAAAAAATATATAGACAAGAAATTACAAAAAAATTAGGATGTTACATTAGTGATGTGTTAGTTGAGATAATAGATGGTTAGAAGACTAATTAGTTTTTGGTAGCTAGAGTAGAAGTCATAGGACAAGAAAGGTGAGTGATTTTAACAGGAACTAATGAAGTGTTGAGATTCAAGGATAGGATCTATGTGCCTAATGATCTTGAGCTTAGGAAGTTGATCTTAGAGGAAGGTCATAAGACAAAACTTAGTTTTCACCATAGTGTTACTAAGATGTACTAAGACCTTATGAAGATGTTTTGGTGGTCTAAGAAGAAAAAAGAAATAGTTGATTTGTGTGTATTTGCTTAGTATGCCAAAAAGTTAAAATAGAACATCAAAAGCCTTCAAGTTTGTTGCAACCCTTGTGTATGCTTAAGTGGAAGTGAGATAATGTTTCTTTGAACTTTGTGGTTAGGTTACTTAGAACCACAAAGACTTTATATTGCATCTAGGTTATGGTAGAAAACTTCTCATTTATGAGTAGGATGAGAGACAACCATGACCAACTATAGAATCCCGACTAACTTCTAATAGATCTTTGTTCTAGTGAGAGTGGATCACGAGTTGCTTACCCATAGTTTATAGTCATATTTTCATGTACTCTTAGACTATCTCATATACGAGCACTTTATGTGTAGAGAAATGAAATCACTTGCATATAAAGATAAAAGCATAAAAGTCCACATGTCTAGAGTCTTAAGTTATGTGTGGGTTTGTGTCCTTGTGATATATATATATATTTATTTTTTCTACTACTTGTCTTTCTTGTAGATGTCTTAACATGTGTGATATATATTGTGAGTCTTCTATGGATAAACATGTTATTGGTTATTATTTTTTTTGATAACCATATTATTAGTGTGAAATATTCATTAATTTCATCAATGACTAATCTTTATTAGAAAATTTGATTGATCACTTTTAGTAGGGTCACCTTTTTAATAATGTTTTTTTCATCTACATGACTCAAGCCTGAGACTTTATTTAAGAGAATAAAGTTCAATACTACTCAAATGAACAATTTGTTGGTTAATCATTACTTAATCAATTAAAGTTAAAAAATATATTTATTATCGTTATCTTAAATATTAATAAAAATATATACTTATTAATATCATTAACTTTTTTTAAGAATTAAAAAATAAAAATAATAAAATATAGATGAAAAATGAATAAAAATGATAACTTTGTTTCGAATATACTAATAGATTAGTATATTTGATTTAAAATAATTACTATGGAAGAGTTGAAATATTAACACATACGATTAATTGGCTTTCCTAATAATGCTGACGTTATTCTTTTTCCAATCTCGATCAACATCATTGCATTGCATCCCCACTTTGATAGCACGTGCACTCATTCTGTTTTCCCAACCACACCACCACCTTCCCTCTGTCTCTGTGTCCAGCACTTGTATTTATTATTTTTATTATTTTAATTGGAAATGATCGCTGGTTTGAAACCAAGCAACTTCAATAATAAGTGAGAGGATCTGCATTCACGAACTCACTCACCTGCGGACCCACCGTTGTTATGATGTGACCAAATGCACCCTTACAACCGGCTACCGAGCAGTGGCCGCTCCACCCCGTCACCGCCGCAGTCCCCTCTCCGCTCCCCGCTCCGCCGCCACGCCCGCTCCAAGCCCGCCCGCTTAAACCCGCCCCGAACCGCCGCGCAACGCCTCGCCTGGGTCTTCCTCTCGCTCCTCCTCCGCCGCCAAGGCGTCTTCCTCTTCGCGCCTCTCATCTACATCCTCGGCATGCTCATTTACATCGCCACCGTCTCCTTCGACGTCGTTCCCTTCATCGACCACCGCCCCGCCCCCGGCTCCCTCTACCGCACCCCCGACCTCTACGCCAAGCTCCGCCCCGAGATGGACGCCGACCTCCATTCTTCCTCCGATGCGGTTCGTTCGCGCTTTCTCGTTATCCGTTTCATTCTCGTTTTTTTTTGCTTCTTCTCTCATTTCTCTTCATTGTTCAATGAGAATGTCGCCACCAGGTGTGCTAACAACACATTCTCTCATAAATTCCTTCTAACATCATTTATCATTGGATGAAATTTATTGGAAACTACACAAATCATGAACGTGATTCATTAAATAAAATGTGAGAGCAAAATAGATATTGTGTTCAAGTGTTGGGATCTTAACATGCGCAGAGTTTTGGGATTAGGAAGGGGAAAGGTCAGATAATGCAACGGTGGCATTGTAGTGATGTTGTTTTTCTTCTAGTCAAAAGGTTGGAAATTGGAATGCGTTGGCGCTGTAAACTGTGTAGTGAAAGCTTTCAAATTAAGAAAATTGATTCTTACGATGATGCTTGCCTTGGCTACTATAGTTTTTTCTAGTAACCATATGAGAGAAAGTATATTGGATAGACAAATGTCACCTTAACACTATCTAACACACTCTTTAATAATGGCTGCAATTTGATGAAAATTACAAATTTTGTGTAGGGCCCACTCCTTATTTAATGAGCATCCCTCAAGATTTTGTAATTTTTAATGAATTTTAATCAATGCTAAAGTGTGTTGCTGACACTCGAAATGGATAATGTGTTTGCTTGTAGTACTTGGTATTGCCTATTTGTGATTTGATGAGACGTTGATTGTGTATTGGTTCTCCGAATATTTGGCAATGTAGAGAGTAGAAGTTTGGGGGCATTGATGTACACGCATCTTTTTTTTATTTATTTACTTTTTTGAGTAAGAGAGATGTCTTAAGATGGGGTATTTGGAGAGGAAAGAACGGGCCAAGTCTCATACATTGTGTTGTTTTTGGTGCTGAAAAGCAAACGAATAAATTGCCTGAGAGGACTTATCTGCATTAAATGCACAAGTCCTCCAAGATACAAGATAAACGTCTTGGCTTTAAAACCAAGGCACAAAACTAGAAAAGACAAATAGCATAACTAAGGAATGGCCAGAAGAGTTCTGAAAACAGGTGAAGAAGAAAAGTTTGGCGGGTAAAATATTTTATATAGAACTGTATAAATTAAAAGGTTAGTAAAACATAATCTACAAGTGATGGAAACAGTCACATAATCGATTAAGAGATAAGGTGACATTACATAAAGTGGTTAGTAATGATTAATGAACATGATTTAAAAAAAAAAGGTTCACTTAGGGGTTTAGAAGATAACCCACTGATCGCATTTTCGGATAAACAACCAAGTTAATTAAACAGTCATTAAAAACTATTATTTCAAGATAAGCTAATTTTAAAATTCAAAGTATAATTTTTGAAAATAAAACCCTGAAATAAATTTTTTTAGGCCCATTATTATTGCTTGGGCATGGGGGAGGCAAATTGGCAAATTTTCACTGATCAGGTCCGTGGGGTCAAATGTCAAGTGTGAGCCCATGCCTCTTACTAGCCACGTTGAAAGCCTTCAAAACATTTTGATATATAAAAACTATAAAGAATGAAAGGCTGAGCAATGCGGGACTTGTTCTTTTGAAATACTACTAAAAATTACAACACATTGCGATTCATTGAACAAGTGGATGTCAAATCTTACTTGAGGTGCTTGTTAGGGAAGTTGATTGTTAATAGGATACAAGCCATTGGCATAAACATAAAAGTTGTTGGCATCCATTTGCTTGTGTATGCTTAACTTCTTCACACTTATTCCCTGTTTTAAAACTAACTTGTTTCCTTTCCTCGTCCTCCAAATGGATTCTAATAGGAATTTGGTATCTTATTAGGAAGAAATATAACCTGGTAGATTATCATAAAGAAATAGGGGTAAATCCCAATTACATGTTAGAACTTTGTAGAACTTCTAGGGTCTGCATCTGCCAATGCCCAAAGGCTCCAATTCTTAATGATTAGATGGTCATTCTTTTAACCTCCCCAGTATTTATGGCAACATGCCTTATTTAGGAAATTCCCACTATGTTTAAAATTTATTAAAATATCGTGATGTCTTAATGTATGCCTTCTCTTATTTAGGAAATGCTTCATCTCTGATTCTCTGATGGTAAATATTATTATAGCATTTTTCTAAGTAAAGTTTTAATTGTTCTGGCCTTGAATTGTTTTTCTTAATAATTTACTTCTTCCTTTATTTTTGAATTGAGTCATGTGAGTATTTTCCTCAGTGCCTTACAAATCTTCATACTTCTTACTTCCAGTTTGTTAAATGGAAAGTTGGATACTTGTAGTGACAAACGCAATTAACTTCCTTTCAGATATCTACGACATGGAGTATTCCACATAAAGGTGGTGAGTGGAAACCATGCATAAAAAGATCTTTAGAAGGTATAATATAATAATATGATCCGTGTTTGTGTTTTGGTATCATTGATTTGTCTATTGTTCATATATTATTATTGACTAAAAACTTAATACTTCTATCATAATAGTAATATCTAATGCAAATAGTTGACAGAGAGGATTTTATTAATTTGTTTCACACTAATTACATTCTTCTTTTACCCTATTGTAGAGAGATATATTTGTCCCTAAAACAAATAATTATGAAAATAAACAAAAATAAAGGAAATAAGAAAAGATTATAAAATAATATCAAATCTCTTAAGATACTCCTATTTACAACACTCCCCCTCAAGTTGGTAAATGAATATCAATCATTCCCAACTTGCCTATCAGCTCTTGAAATCTACTAGTAGGAAGTCCCTTAGTAAGTACATCTGCCACTTGGAGTCCTGTAGGGATGTGAGCTGTAACAATAAGGTTATTGTCCAACTTCTCTTTGATGAAGTGTCTTTCTATTTCAATATGCTTGGTCTTGTCATGTTGAATTGGATTATGAGCAATGTTGATGGTTGACTTGTCGCAAATGAGCTTTATAGATAGCTCTATTTTAATTCTAAGATCATCAAGAATAATCTTCATCCATAGCCCTTCGCATATGCTCTGTGTCAAGGCTTGAAATTCAACTTTTGCACTAGACCGAGCAACTACGTTATGTTTCTATTCAATAAAATGCATGAATAAGATTTGAAAATAAAATTTGTCTCAAATCACCTTGGATTCATCAGACTGGCCATATTCTTTTACCTGGACTACAGGGAAAACATAGTCAAGGAGACCCAAATGCATATTTAATTTAGAGGGTTTACCTATCATTTAAGTTATGATAGTAGTGGGAATTCCTAAAAACAATGGAATCTTTAACACCATGAAATTCATGAACAGGCTAGTTGTGCAAGGACAATGGCCAATTTCACAGTGGTAAAGCCTAACACTTTTTGAGGAAAGCACTGAATAGTCTTTTAACTTATGAAGTGTGCTGTTCATATTGTTGCCTTAAAATTTAAGTTGACCATGTTGTAATATATTATTTATTTACTTTAATGTCCGGGCAATTATGTTTTTATCTTCTATATTGTACTCAATAAATACTGTGAAACTTTCATTTTGATTCTATGTAAATAGGGTAACTTGGAAAATACTGTATAGCTAAAGTTTAGGGATTTCTTTCACTGTATCCTAAATCATCTCCTCTTTATGAATGTAAATAAAATCAGTGTGTGAGAAAGATACAATTCCTGTAATCCTGTAACTGCCAGTGCAAATTTCTTATGTTTTTCATAGGCCTTCCTGAATCAAATGGATACATTTATGTAGAGGCTAATGGTGGCTTAAATCAGCAAAGGACATCGGTTAGTGTTTTCTGTACATTCCTTCTTTAAAGTGTCCCCAATTTAGCTTTGCTCTCGACATATTTGTAAAAGGAATGTTTTGTGCTTCGAAGGTGTGCAATGCTGTTGCTGTGGCTGGCTACCTGAATGCTACTCTTGTGATCCCAAATTTCCAATATCATAGCATATGGAAAGATTCTAGGTTTGTTTGTTTGCTCTCCTATCTTTTTAGTACTCATCATGAGTTGGCACAAACGGTATAAGATCCAGTTCAAGCTTACATTCCCCATGACTTTTAATTCTTGGTTTAATCATTAATGTATCATGTAAATATAATAATTAGTTGTATGTTATATTATATTCGTTATACAAATAGAGGAGTGCTGGCAACACATTCTCTAACAGACTTTTTCTAACACTCTCTTCTGTTGATTAAAATTTATTGAGAACTACAAAATCATGATACATTCATTAAATAGGATGTGAGACCCACAAAATTTTGTAATTTTTGCAACAAATTTTAACTAATAAAGGAGTGTGTTCCTAACATTTCTCACATAGTATTGAGTCCATGGTGAAGTTGAGACTTAAAGTTTTAGTACATGCTTTTGTTTTTCTTTCACTATGGTATCTAAAAGCTGAAGAGAGGCAACCCAAAACCATCCGTGCCTGCTGGACCCACTCCACATTAGTGTTTTTTGTTTATTGTTACACTATTTTTGTGCTCCAGTTATTTGGTCTCCCTCTGCCACATCAATTTCCAGCAGATATCTCTGTTCATCACTGTCTGCTGGCATTGGTGACTTTTCAGCCGACCTTTTTGGCTGGCAATCCCATCATGGAACTCACCTCTGTCTATTCAGTCATCCACCTGCACAGATCACACATTGCCAGTAAAATTTAGCTCCATTACTTCTACCAAAACCATTAAAGTCGATCATAAAAAAATGGTTGCATCATGTTGGGCAATGGCATTCTCCCACATATCACCATGCAAGCCAAACAATGAAATCCATAAAGAAACAAAACCATAATGCTAAATATTTTTCATTGATCATCATCTAGTTATTAAGAGGTTTCTTTGCTCATTCCCCAGTTTTGTTAACTATTCTTGGTTAAGCTGTTGTGTTAGATGGAGTATAATGTATGTATAGTTCATATCATTTATTAAAGTCGATCATAAAGAAACCATCAGAAATATTTTCTGGTCAGCCCACCTGTTAGGAATCTCTTCTTGAGAAAGGAAAAGAACAAAATCCTAATCAAGATCAGCACACTCACACAGTAAGACAGAAAAACTGAATGAATTCGTTATTGATTATGAACAAAATTCTTACAAGAACCAAGGTATACAATATACCCCCAAAAGGAGCACTCCTTTTCACACCGGAACTTCCATTTATACTGTTGACAGCTAAATATATTTTTATTTAATTGTAAATTTGGGTAGTTAAGATCAATATCAGACTTACTCTGATTTGATTTTATTCTCTTTTATTATAGGAGATTTAGTTAGATGGGATCAATATTAGATTATTCAAATCTGATTAGATTCTCATTTATTTTCTTCTCCTTATGTTATCGTTACATTTATTTTTGTAATCAAGGTGATTGTGATTTCTTCTAATCATGTCTATTAGATAAAAGTAGAAAGAGATAAAAATGTAAAGAGGAACTTCATTTCATTACACTACAAAATGAATACATGGGTTCAATATATATATAGGGAACCCCTCAGTATTACAGCAGAGAGAGAGAGAGAAAATAAATAAAAGGTAATACAACTGTAAAAGTAGCAGCTATAAAGCAACAACAGAGAGAGAAAATAAAGGACAGCTGTCTGGACAAGTGTCCCTGGAATATTCTGAAGATGTAACAGAATGCAAAAAGTAAAAAAGGGCCAACAAACAAATATTCCCTTTTTGTTGTGATTTTATACACTAATAGCCCCCCTCAAACTCAAGGTGGAGGTTTGTCACAAAAACTTCGCACATTGAGTTTGTCTCTAAGAACTTCAAAACGGGAGCAGACAGAGGCTTAGTAAGTAAATCAGCCCATTGATCTAGAGCTGGTATGTGATAAACTAAAAGCTGCTTGGATAGAACTTTGTCACGAACAAAGAACACATCAATCTCCATGTGTTTTGTTTTGCTGTGAAAAACAGGATTGTGTGCAATAGCCACTGCACTTTGATTGTCACAGAGCAAAGTAGGTGTGGATAAAGGAACCTTAAGTTCCTGTAGAAGAGCTTGAATCCAAGTTAACTCAGGAGAAGCTTGAGCTATACTGCGATATTCAGCTTCTGTGCTGGACCGAGCAATAACTCGCTGTTTTCTGGACCACCAAGATATCAAATTGGGTCCAAAAAAGATAGCAGATCCAGATCAGAGGCCCAATCAGCATCACATAAAGCAGTAAGAGAGATGGGACTGCCTACTGCAGCAGGCTGCATGTGAAGACTATAAGAGAGTGTGCCCTTTAAATACTTTAGGATTCTTTTGACAGCCACCCAGTGAGAGTCAAGAGGATTAGCCATGAATTGACAAACTTTGTTAACAGCAAAACTGATTTCAGGTCTTGTGAGTGTAGCATACTGTAAGGCACCAACAACAGATCTAAAAAGAGTTGGATCATGAAATAAGTCATTCCCAGACTTGGACAATTTGCAGTTAGAGAACATAGGAGAAGGAACAGAATGAGCTTCAGCCATATTGGTTTTAACCAGAAGGTCCCGAATATACTTGCTCTGAGTCAAAACCAGTGATTTGTCGGGCAAGTATTTAACCTCAATACCTAGAAAGTAATCCAAGCTTCCCAATTGCTTCAAAGAAAATATGGAGTCAAGTTGATTGGTGATTTGTTGAATAAGGGAATAAGAGCTGCCAGTAATGATGTCATCCACATAAACTAGAATAAAGATGGTATGAGCTTGATGTTTGTACGAAAACAGAGATGGATCACATTTACTAGCTTGAAAACCAAATTGAGTAAGAGTCAATTTCAGTTTGTCAAACCATTGTCTATGGGCTTGTTTCAAGCCATATAGTGCCTTGTTGAGCTTGCAGACCACAGCTTCAAAACCAGGGGGCTGAACCATGTAAATAGTTTCTTCTAAAGTGCCATTAAGAAAGACATTATTTACATCCAACTGAAATAATTCCCAGTTATAGGTAAGAGCAAGAGTGATGATGATTCTAATAGTTATGTGTTTAATAACAGGAGAAAATGTCTCATGAAAATCAAAGCCATGCACTTGATGAAAACCTTTTGCAACCAGCCGAGCTTTAAGCTTATCTATAGAGCCATCAACATTTTCCTTGACTCTGAAAATCCATTTACATCCCACTGCTTTTCTTTCAGATGGCAAAGAAACTGAATCCCAAGTATGGTTGTGTATTAAGGCAGTGTATTCTTGCTACATAGCAGAGAACCAATTAGGATCAGCTAGAGCTTGCTTAACATTTTTAGGTTCACTATGAGCCAAGAATAAGGATGGATGTAGCCGAGGATTATGAAATCTAGATTTAGAACGGGTTTGCATGGGATGATTATTAATGGTTCTAGGAACATTATCTATGTCAGTGGAAGAGACAGGAGAAGATACATTATGTGAGGAAGACTCATTAGATGAAGGAGACACATTATGTGAAGAAGACATTGTGGGACTGTTTGAGACACCTGGATCATTGTCTTGAGAAGACAGAGGAGGCTGCTGTGAGAAAACAGGAGAAGTAGTGCAAGGAGGAGACAAATTCGGATTGAGAGTGAAGTATTGACATGGAGAGACATTTTGAGTAGGACTTGGATGAAACAGATTTAAGTAAGGAAACCTATGTTCATTAAAAATAACATCTTTTGAAATGTAAATTCTGCCAGAAGAGGATAGGCATTTATAACCTTTGTGAGAGTTTGAGTATCCCAGAAAAACACACTCCTGGGATTTGAAATGAAGTTTATGGCTAACATATGGTCTTAAGAAGGGAAAACAAGCACAACCAAATGTTCTTAAGAATTTGTAATTAGGTGATTTATTGAATAAAACAGTGAAAGGAACATTAAAATTTAATGCTGCAGTTGGCAATCTATTGATAAGATAAACTGCAGTGGTAAAAGCAAAATCCCAAAATTGCAGAGCTAAGGAGGCATGATGAAGAAGAGTAAGACCAATTTCAACAATATGCCTATGTTTCCTTTCAACCACACCATTTTGATGATGTGTGTGGGGACAAATCAATCTATGTTCTATTCCATTTGTGGCAAGAAATGTAGTAAAAGCTCTGTATTCCCCTCCCCAATCAGATTGAACACTTTTAGTTTTGGTGTTGAATTGATGTTCAGTCATAGCCTTAAATTGTTGAAAAACAGAGAGTTTCACATTTTGACTTTAAGGGATATATCCAAGTGTATTTAGAGAAAGCATCAATGAAGGAAACATAGTAAATATATCCAGAAAAGGATTTAATATGTGATGGTCCCCACATATCAGTGAAAATTAAATCCAAGGGAGCAGAATATACAGTTTTAGAGGCAGAAGAAGGAAGTCTATGAGACTTTCCTACACAACAAGATGAGCAAAATTCAGTAACATATGTATTTGATGGAAGAAGGTTACATTGAGTAAGAACAAGCTTAAGAACATGAGAATTAGGATGACCTAGCCTAGTATGCCACATAGTGGAAGAACTAGATAGATCAGAATTTTTATTTACATTGGTATTATCTAAAACTGTAGTAATAGTAGGGGAGACAGCAGACTGGGAGGACATTTCAGCCGAAGAAGAGACCAATTCTGAGGGACTTTGGAGCTCTAGATTTGGAAAAGAATAAAGCCCATCAACACCAACAATACCTTGAAGAAGAACCTCATTGGTTTCCTGAGATTTGACAAAATAATGATCAACATGAAACTCAAAGAAAACACAATTATCTTTAGCAAATTTACTTACGCTCCACAGATTTTTGGTGATAAGGGGAACATGAAGAAGATTATTTAGTTGAAAACTAAATTGAGAGTTAATAGGAGATAAAAAGGAGGAAGAACTAGAACCATTGATTTGCAAACCTTGACCATTTCCTATGAAGATTTGGTCTGGACCATCAAAATGCTCTAACTGATAGATGTTCTGAGGCTCACCAATAACATGGAACGAAGCACCAGAATCAGGGATCCATGTAGAATTAGTAGCTCCTTGAGAAGAGGTA